TGGTGACCTGAATTTGATCCCTGAAAGGAAAGAACTGAGTCCTGAAAGTTGGCCTCCAGAGGCATATCTTGGCGTATGTGTGCTCCCCCTCCGATGTCATATACACTAATAGGAACAAAAAGTATAGTAAAGCTATCTTAGTTGTACATACATATGTATATATGCTTAAGTTCACAAAGATATGCTTAAGCTAAAAAATAAATTGAGCGAGATTGCAGGTTGATGTTACAAAACTCAAGTTCTACCAACAGTTAACATGTTAGCAGCTCACAGTAAGAATAATTTAAAGTTTTTAGTAGTCATTTTAATTAAATAAGTATATATTCTATACTGAAATATTGTTGGGGTGGAAAGAAGTCCTGGTTCATTACATGGAAAAATTAAGATTATTTAGATCATTTGGGGGCACTTGCTATCTGTAAAGTTGGTGAAATCAGAGCAGTAAAATTTAGACGAGAAATTAACAACCTAATTTTAAAATGTATTAGCTGAAATAATTTTTTAGAAAGATTGGAGGAATTGACACTACCTGATATCAAATGCACTATAAAGCTATAGTAATTAAAACAGTCTGGAGTTGGCATATAGAAAAACTTGTTGTTTTATTTTTTTAATTGCATTTTCCCCTAGGGTTCTGGGGTTGGGTTGGACTGAGGGCCATGTTCATGCTAGACAAGCCTCCTGCCACTGAGTTGCATCCCTAACCCTTGATTTGAGATAGGGTTTTGATATATAGCTCATTCTGGCCTCAAGCCTGTTCCCAGGCTGTCCTCAAACTCGACATCGTTTTGCATCCCCCTCTGAGTGTGTGCCACCATATCCAGCTAGGAAGTATTTTTAGATAAATGGCACAGGAATAAAACTACTCATAGATAATAAGATGAATTTCAGCAAAGGCAGCAGGTGAATCATTGAGAAAAAAACATTGTGTGTGTATGTGCACGTGCACCCATGTGTGTGTTTATGAGAGTATGTGTGTTTGTGTGCTTATGTGTTTATGAGAGTGTACATGTGTGTGCATGTATATTTATGAGAGTACATTTTTGTGCGCTTGTGTGTTTATGAAGGAGTGTGCATGTGTGGGTATATTTATGAATGTTCATGTGTGTGCAGGCATGTGTGTTTATGAGAGAGATGTGGTGTGGGAAGGGGAGGTGGGGGGGTATGCCTGTAGCAATCAGAGGACAGACTTCAGGTGTCTGTTTTCTTCCTAGATGAAATATAGGAATAGAATACAGGTCACCAGGCTGTCAGCCAGCTAGCACCTTTACCTGATGAACCGACACTGTCCCCATCCCCACTTTTGTAAAGAAAGTATTTTAACAAATGGTGCCAGAACAAGTAGACATCTATATGACAAATGATGAACCTTGATCTTACTTTATACCATACACAAATATTAACTGGTAGTAGACCATTGACTTAAATGTAAGGGTTTAAAGTGCAAAATATCCAGGAGAAAAGAAAATCTGTTGTGTTGTGTTGTGTTGGGCAAAGTTTTCTTTGGCAGAACTGATCTAGTAAATGGTTAAAAGCAGTGATGATAGACAGAGTCAAGAACAAAGAGCTGAGTGCAGATCAGCGGTCAAGTGCTTGCTCTCTGTTCAGTCTCCAGCATTGCAAAGCTAAGTAAGTAAATAAGCACACTCATTTGGTTCATATGCAGAACATGCAAAAAAGAGCTTTTACAACTCTACAGTCAGACAGCCCAGCAAAAAATGAATAAACACAGACAGGTAGTCCACAAGGAACGTGTGAAGTAAGCCAGCCCTCTAGTTTCCTGGAAAGTAAATTAACAGGACAGGGAGTTGCCGCCTACTCTTCTAGTGAGCAAAGTTAAAAGTGATGGTGACATAGATGGGGCCATCTGCTGCTGTGGTACATGGCTAGCAAGGACAGAGGGCAAAGCAGCCGCTGGCAGCAGGCCACACAGCAGCTTCTTATGAAGCTAAACAGTAGCCAGCCTCAGAGCCTGCAGTTCTTTCCTGTTAACAAAGCAAAATGAAAGCAGATAGGAATGTGATAGCATTGTTCAGATAGCCTCAAATAAGTCAGCCCTGCATATACACAACTAGAACTGGCATACATGAATCTCAGAAGCACCCAGCTGAGTTACACAGTCACAGAGATCTGCACATGACCCTTTATTGTGACATCCGAGGAGAAGCAAAGCTTTGTCTGTATTGACCAGTTGTTTGCTTGGGTCACAGAATCCAGGTAGGAAATTGGTTGTAAAGAGACATGAAGGAATTTTGAGGTGACAAAAATGTTCTGGATGTTAATTACTTTAGTTAACGTGACTGTTTGTATGAATTCTTAGAGCTTGTCAGTCTGCACTTGATGAACAAGTTTCACTTCCATTTGACAAGACTTGTAGAAGACAAACCACACAGCATAGTAATGTCTCATTGTTTTTAAACGTATTTGTTTCTGTGTGTTTAGATTAGAGTATGCTACCATTTGTTTAAAATGGTCTCACTTGGAGGGGGGGGGAGTATCTGTTAAGGGGGAGGAAGAAGCTTGGCAGGGTTGCTGTTTTATTTGTTTATTTATTTTGGCTTTTTGAGATAGTTTCTCTATATAGCCCTGGCTGTCCTGGGAAGTCTGCTTGTAGACCAGGCTGTCCTTGAACTCAGATCCGCCTGCCTCTGGGGCATGGGATTAAAGGCATGTGCTACCACCACCAGGCGGGGTTGTTGTTCTGGAGCACTCAGGGAGTATCACTGATAAAGAGAAGTTGCACAGATAAATTCAGCCAAGTGGATTCGGCATGCTTTTCACTGACCTTGTCATCGATGTGCAGATTTCCCTGGCATTGTAAGTGAGCGCTTATCATGTTGCATTGACTGACCCTGACCCTCCATGTACTCTGTGTTCATTCGTTCTGTCACTTTCTCTTGGGGACAGTAGCTACAGCTTTTATGTATTTTTACCCTGTAGTTCTGTGTGCTGCTTGCAGCAGGCAGGCAGTTAATTGGTTTGAATGGTTTTGGCTGAGATGAGTCAGGTCACTGCTCTTTGTGCTAATCTGTGTTTTCTTAGTTCAGTATAGCAATAGAATGCAAGCAGAACCTTAAATAGACCCAAAGTGAAAACCAAACTTGCAGGAGCAACTTTGTGTAACAGCATTTTATCCTGACTTGTCAAATAGTGAACAGCCACAGCGTGTAAGGATGCTAGCACCTTCAATGTCCCTGGTGAACGAAGGGTGGGAGCGTGAAAGACCTGTCTTCATTTCATCTATTCTAGTTATTTATTTTTAAATCTTTAATTTACTTGTGTGTAAGAGGGGGGAAGGGAGAGAGGAGGGAAGGGGAGAGGAGAATGGGTTCATGTGCATCATGCAGTGCCTGCAGAGGCCTGGAGAAGTTGTTGGATCCCCTGAAGCTGAAGAAGCAGGTGTTTATGAGCTGCCTGATATGGGTGCTGGGAATTGAACTCAGGGTCTCAGAGAGAGCAGCAAGAACTCTTTTAACACTTCATCTATTGTGAGACTCAGTCACCTGTCAAAGTGAAGCTGATTAGTGCATTTCAGCCTTTTCCAGTAGGTGGCAGAAGAGTGCTTTGCATCAGCATTCTAGCCTGTCATGGGGTTGCATAGTCCTAGGTACTGAATATTCTTTTAGTTAAGGCCATTGCCTAATTTTTTTTTTTTTCTTTTTTTGTAGACAGATCAAAGTGATACTGTGGTTGTTAGTTGTCATTTTACATCAGATGTTATGAGGAGCTAAAATAATAGTTTACTTTGTATAGGTTTTATTTGCTAACAAATCTTTAACTGCAATTTTCACCCCTTACAGTATTATTAATATTTCAACATATCATTTTCTGCCTCACAGCCTCTTAGACAGAACCCAGCTGTTGTAGTCTAGAACAAGATAAAATCTTATTAAATAGTACATAAGTATTTCATCACATAGCTTTGGGAGCATTTTGTGTCTGTGATAAACATTCACAGGTTTGTTTTTTTTTTTTTTTTTTTTTTTTTTTCATTTGTAAACAAACCCAAAGCTGAGTTGCACAAGAAACATTTTAATGCTAGTAGTTAGGTGGGGCTGGTTTCTCTTCCTCCTTGCTTTACTCGCCTCCAGGAAGCAGTGTCCATACTGTGGGAGAGGCGACTCTACTTACTGCTCAGGAATGGTAGCGCAGTGTGAGCTACAAAGTACTGATCTTTGGAAAGGCCTGAGCTGGTGGCCAAAGTGTAGCTTCAAGAGTGCTTAGCAGATAATTCTTGTGAACTTTTCTCCCCAGGGATCTGTTGATTTAGGAGAAAGTTTTAAAACTGGTTTTTAAAAACAATGTAGTACTAGGGTTTTTTCCATTTTTCCCCCCACATAAAATGCTTGCCAATTCTTAAAAACTCAAAGGACCCTCTGTAACTGAACTCAGAGTCCTGTTTTATTCTTGCAAACATGTTTCCTCATGGTCATGTCACTCAGCATGTGTCTCCCCAGATTCTCTCCTGGAGTGCAGAGACTACCTCGGGTCTCTGCCTTCCTCTCTCTCTCCACCCTATTAAATCCTAAAACAAGTCTGGCCAGCCACAGGACACTGAAATTCAGAGCAGCCATCTTGCTCACATGTTTCTCATTAAGCCAAGAAGCAACATGAGAAAAAACACAGCAAAGAGCTGACAACAAAGGAGAACCGTGGGGTAAGGCTATGATGGGTGTGCTCGCTCAACAGACACACTTCACTCAGCAGGAGGCAGGCGGTGCCCTGAGCCTGCATCGGCCAGCTTCAGGCCGGTCTATCCTTAACATTGTTGCTCTTGTGCCCCTCCTCCCACCGACTTGGGCCTGGTAACTTCCTACTGAAATGTGTTTTCCACTGAGACGCAGCTTCTGCTAAACCTGGGGGAAGGCTTCAGTGTCATTCATAGTATGTAACCCTTCACATTCACAGTCTGTGATAGCTGGTGAGCCATACTCTGCTCGCCCTGATAGAGTTGCTTTGTCTCAGCAGCCACTGATGTTTTCATTTTGGTTTAACCCTAGCCGATCCCACCGTTAAGGACTTGATCGGAGGCTTCACCGCTCTGCATTACGCAGCCATGCACGGCCGGGCCCGGATTGCACGCCTGATGTTAGAGTCTGAGTACAGGAGTGACATTATTAATGCAAAAAGCAACGATGGCTGGACTCCTCTCCACGTGGCTGCTCACTACGGTAGGGACTCGTTTGTCCGTCTCCTTCTGGAGTTCAAGGCTGAGGTCGATCCACTCAGTGATAAAGGTACAACACCACTTCAGCTGGCCATCATCCGAGAGAGATCAAGCTGCGTGAAAATCCTCCTGGACCACAACGCCAACATCGACATTCAGAATGGATTTCTGTTGCGCTATGCTGTGATTAAAAGCAATCACTCTTACTGCCGAATGTTCCTTCAGAGAGGGGCAGACACAAACTTGGGGCGCCTAGAAGACGGACAGACTCCTTTGCACTTGTCTGCCCTTCGTGACGATGTGCTCTGTGCACGGATGTTGTATAACTATGGCGCGGACACGAACACAAGGAACTATGAAGGTCAGACCCCACTGGCCGTTTCAATAAGTATTTCAGGAAGTAGTCGGCCGTGTTTGGATTTCTTACAAGAAGTCACAAGTATGTAACATAATTACTACTCTTATTGCATCTTTCCCTCTTAATTCGCACCTTCTGAGTAGCTTGAGATATTTTTGTAATACGAGATGACTAGACATTAATCATTCCTATAAGTCCCACTTGGTAAGTAATACTCACTCATCCAGAACCCAGTTGTGTTACTAAAAGTGGACAGTAAAAGTAGAGTAAACGACAGACATATTTTTAGGATGAACAAGTTTTAATGGTAGAACAAGGCAATTCCCACTGTTCCAAACAATAGCCTGTCTAATACCATGAGGATTCGGATTGAGGAATTAGAAGACTTTGGTGTTTCAGATTTCTTAGCTATAGACATGGTCCGGATTCTGAAATGTATTACTGAGTTCCAATGAGAAGAATGCCAGTCTGGCTTATTTAGATACCCCAGTAATGGAGATAAAGGATGCTAGAAATTATTGTGAGAAAACACTAGGAAATTAGGCACTATGTCCCTGGGCCACACAGCTTCCATTGATGTTGCCCACTATGCGAGAGACACTTTCTTGACACCTCCCAGTGTCTGATTTATCTAACGTAGAAGCAATGAGTGGTAGTCATCATGGATGTCGTTACCTTTTCTTGTCCTGCTTCCCTGGGGCTGACTAAGTGTGTGTACCAGAGGTTAGTGTGTGAGCCAGGAAGCTGAGGTCTGTAAACATCATTCATCTACTCCCTGCTGTACTGCCAGCACCTAGCTAGCTGCCTTTCCCCATGTGATCTCGATTACAGAAGAAAGACCAGCTTTTGATTATGTGGCACTTATGAGAGGCCAATTTTAGGTCTGACTTTTTAGATTTGGAAGCCAGGGGGCAGTACCAGTAAACAAAAAGGACATAGAGCCTGGAGTATGTGGAGGTGTGTCCAATGACAAGTTGGCATGTGCATGAGGACAGACCACTGCAGAATCCTAAGGAGATGAACTGACCTTTCCCCTATGGCCAGGCTAGAACTGGGGAGAGAGGAAGTATTTGTCCCATGTGTCCTTTACTCGGACATTATTGCGGAAGCAGGGGGATCTTGGGTGTCTGGACCTTTGTGGTTAGGTTGCATTTAAGGGGGAAAGCAGATTACGGAAATGCTTGCCTAAACAAAAAGGAAAACTTACCAATACGAAAAAAAAAAGTATACCTTTGTGAAAATATCTAAGCATAGCATAACCTGAGGATGTGGTTAGCTTCTAATGGAACCTGCCAGAGAACTAGTTATAATTTAGCTGAGATTTTTGTTCTTATCATCTCCCTTCACAGTATAAAGTTCTCCAGTTAACCGGTAGCTACAGACTAGAGTTGTAAGGATACGGAATATGTTTGGAAAACATGTTTATGTGAATGGATGTTTTGCCTGTATGTCTGTGCACCATGTGTGTATAGTATCCAAGGAGGGCAGAAGAGGCATCAGGTCCTCTGGAACTAGTTACAAGAGATTGCTAGCTGCCATGAGGGTCCTGGGAACTGAACCCAGGTCCTGTGCAAGGGAAATACTGCTGAGCCAGCCCCAGAATGTAAAATCTACTGAGAAAGAGAGCAATTTCATGACTTCAATATTAAAAGATGAGAGTTGAATGAAGTCATACCTGGAATTTTATTCAGAGAAATTGTAGTACCGGGCGATGGCCCATGTAGAAATGCCCAAGCACGGATTGCAGGCTAGATGACTAGGAGCCCCTCCTCTGTGCCTCACCAGCTGCTTCTGCAGGGGGAAAGGGAAGGGCTGAAAAGCCCTGGCACTGCGCACCTGGGTTCCTAGCACTCGGGAGGCTGAGCCTGAGGGGAGACTTTGGGTTCCAGGCCAGGCCAGGTTGTTGGAATGGGCTACATTCATAAGACCCCATCTCCAAAAAGCAAAGAAAAGAGCTGGTGGCCTGCAGTGGCTTGTACTTACCATCTGGAAACCAGCTAGAGGGCAGTACCTGCCAGGAGACTGCCTCTGCATTTGCTCAGCAAGACTGTATGGAAAGGCTGCGTACCTCAGAGGCCAGCCTTTCCTCATGAATGTCTCCCCTTAGGTAGGAGGGGGCCATGTTCAGAAGACAGAGTAGAGTCGAAGTTGGGGCCAGGCAAGTGGATTCAGGCTTTTCTTGGGGCATCTGGCCTCCTGCTCCTCACCTTGCCAGGGCCGTCCATATGGCCCTGTGTGGGACAACAGTTCTGCACGGCTGCTGCTTCATCGGGTATTAGTCAGGGTTTCCTTCCCTCACTCTAACGCTTTCAGTAGCTCTAAATGAAGAATCATGCTCTCAGTTCCCTGGCTTACAGTAATTGCAACATCTGTGGCACATCTACATCTGGCTCTGATGCTAGCTTTAGCTCTGGCTGCTTTCCTTTTTACCCTGCCTAGCATGCTGTATTGTTCTGTTTTTCAGTTGAAGTTAGGCATGATGTGAAGAGCCCCGAGAACTCAGGTGATAGTACCGCCCCCTTCCTGTTTTGGCCCTTTTGAGACCATCTTGGCTATAATAGCACAGCCTGGCCTGTGACTTGCTACATAGACCAGGCTGTCCACAAACTTGCAGTGGATTCCTCCGCCTACACCTCCCTAGTACTAGGATTATACGTGTGAGCCACCATATCCTGCTTCTCATAGTCTTCATGCAAGGCTTCCTGTTAATTTGGCTAGGCATGGGGTTGTGTTTATGTAACTATAGATAGCTGGCTGTGCAGAGTTCTCCGGTGGTGTCCTTTCTCCCTCACCTGCACATTCACCCTCATGCCCTTGACTCCTCCTCAGGTCTGTCAACTTCAGCCCACTGTTACTGCACTGGAACCCTGTTGGTTCCTGTTTAAGGTGTGGTGGTGTAATCTTCTAATTAAATTCCAGTGTTTTAAGTGGGCTTATGTGTTTTCCCTTAGGTAGTTTTTCCCTCCAGTTCCTGTCAGGTGAGATAGGAAGACCAAGCCTGAGCAGTGTGTTCCTGGACGAGTCTCTTCCTGTGGAGAGCCTTAGTTAGGGAGCGGCTTGTGTGCCGACAGCCTACACTCCCCAGCCGTAACTGTCAGGGTCTTCATTGGTCTTTTCTTTGAGGACTGGCAGGCTTCCTCAGACTGGCTCTTAATGTCCTGTCCATCCATGGGCTCTGCTTTTTGCGTTTGGGGGCCCAGTGGCTTCTGCTCAGGTAAGCATGCATCAGCATTGGCATTGTAACTCTGGGTCTCGCAGTCTCCAGAGCTTTTGATAAAGGTGCCCTGCCTGCAGCCCCAGTGGTTTTGGTCGCTCCAAGATTAGGCTTAGTTTTTAAAGTTGTGCAAGCTTTTCTTCTTCCAAGAACTCAGGTGTGATGATGTCTAAGCTCTGCATGTGCTAGAGTTGTAATGGCACGGCCATCCGGCTTTATCATTGTTTTCCTTTGGAAGTGTGAAACCATCCTCACTGTGGTTCTTTGAACTGAGGATGGTTTTGCATACTGGGATCAGAAGCTCACCTCTCTCCATCATCACAGGCTCTCAGTTGTGCCCATGTCAGATGCTGTTAAACCAGCAGAGTGCCACAAATGACTTGCCCAATAACCTGGGGAGAGGTCTTCAGCCCCCAGTCTACCCCACAGAATCCGGTGCTCTCCAAAAACAAAAAGGGGGTTGGGAGACTGGATCAAATTCTTGCCAGCAACAGCTGCTTTTCCTGTTACTTGGGAGGAAGGAGGGAAGATGAGAGGAGGAAAACAGAGGGCCATATAGGACTGGTTTTGTTTATTTGGTCCCCCCCCCCCATAAGGATGGGCTTCTAGAAGTTCACAGATTGTCTTAGATGGCCATAAGGTCCTGGTGTGTAGCTGGAGTGCTCGCCCTTCACTCTGTGATGACCTTTGTGCTGGTGATGTGTAAACTCTGGAGGGAAAACTGCTTCCAGGTTAGCATGACAGACAGCCGGGCTGGTGTGGTGCTGATGAGGGCTATTCTCTTCACTGCCAGGCAACCTCAGTCATGAGTATTCCAACCCATTTACAAATGTCTGTGACAAAGCAGGAGACACAATTGAATTAAATCTTGTCCCTTTGTGCACATACCTTTTAAATCTTCTGTAGACAAAAATGCCTGAGTGGAGGAGAAGTGACAGGTTTGTTTGAGCTGCACCAGTAGCTTTTTTCACGGAGAACCATTTTTCCTTGAAAGATTGACTGACAGCCAAAGTACACCGTTTAATCATGGGCACTTAGCAGGCGTTTTCTTGGAAATGCACAAAGTTCACTTGTCACTTTCAGGGAAATGACCATAGTATTGATGACCAGTCAGACCTTGAGCTTTAAAAAGAGTGGTTTTGAAAACTCATATTTACCATTGTGAGAGTCCTACTATGTAATGATATTTTTTTCTGAGATTAGTAGAAATATTAAAAAAAAAATACTGTTTTTGGTATCATGTAATGAAATTGGCTAACAATATGAAGACATGCATAACCTAGTATGCCATATACTTCTGATGACTAATTTATGTTCCTCTGTGTATGGGTCAAAAGTTTAAGATGGACTATAATTTAAAAGTACCAAAAATAAAAAAAAAAAAATCAATGTAGTTCCAGATCCAGCTGTAGGGGCTGGGGAGATACGATAGCTCAGCTGATTGTGTTTGCAAGCAAGCATGAAGACATCAGTTTGGTACCCAGCACCCACATACAAAGCTGGACATGGTAGCATGATTTGGTAACCTCAGCACGGGGATGGGGAGCTTGGGGAGTGAGGAGTTGGAGACAGGAGGTTCCCTGGGCCTTTCTGGCCAGCTCCCAGCCAGTTGGTGAACTTCAGGTTCAGTGAGAGACTCTGCCTCAAAAAATAAGGTGGAGAGCAATTGAGGAAGACAATATTTAATGCTATATATATATCACACACACACACACACACACACACACACACACACCATGAGGGTTTCACAGAGTATCCAAGGTTGTCTGGAAAAGGCAGTACATCTGAATGAAGCTCAGTAGTTCTTAGCCTTCCTAATGCTTCAATCCTTTAACACAGTTCCCCCTGTTGTAACCCCCAACCATAA